TCAGGTAGCTTGTTGGAGCGCGTGGCTGTCAATAATCCCTCTTCCACCCTGGGTGACCAATCTGGAAACAGCAGGGTGTTGGCAGCACCTCGGGTGCACGTCTTTCACTCATTTCCTGTCTGGCTGACCTCTGCCATCCCAGAGCTACGTTTGCTAAGGAGCAGTTGGGTGGTAATCGCTTCCTTACTGAGGGACACGACGTTATGCTGAGAGATGGACCATATGGAGTTACAGTGGATCATTTGAAGTTATGGTTATGCTTGTTGTCTTTGCTGCGCTGTGAGGCTAAACAACTGTCACTAACCGACCAACCAAACCTGCATAACCGATTAGTTATCGTACAGATTAGCCAGTTTACCCATCTTAAGGGAATGTTTATCTGGTAAGGCTGCTGTAGTCCTTTGCAATGTATGAGTCCGGAAGTCACTGTATATGAACATTCACCAGTCCACATGAAGCAGGCAGCTACTGTGATCCAGGGCAGGATTCAATCCTGTAAACCTCAGCATCACCACTGCTGCCACGGTAACATTATAGCGGTAAATTTGCTAGAGTATAAAATGATGGCTGGTGACCCTGGGATACTGCAGGTCCTGCCACCGCCCAAGTGTGAAGGCTTTTAACAGGCCACAGCGCGACACGGTACACCTCTACTATTCCGTTTACAGGCCAATAAAACCTGGTCACCTCCGAACTCCGAAACATCAGTGGTGTCACTCCAAGTGGAAGCCACACCTCCCAATATGTGCCTCTCACTGGTTGACCTCAGGGTCCTAAAGCCTGATGCATGTTCCTCATAAACTCTACATTTTAACACATTTTATATGAGGGAGCTGAACAGAAAAGCCCAGTTTTCTAGGTTTCAGTGGCATAGGGTGCAGCAAAAGGCTCGGGTGATATTATTCCTGTTTGTTTACTCAGCTTTTAATGACTGAAAACCCAAGAGAACATTTTTAACTATGTCTTTTTCGCCCCAGAAAGCTTCACTATAAGCCTCCGTTGAGCAGAGTCCAAAACACAACTTTTGATTTGAATAAATGACTGACACGCTAAATGAAGTGTTTAATAACGTCTCAAATAGTCCGGCGCTGGTTTAATTAAAAACATTGGTGGGTCAGGCAGCCCCACCTCCTCCTCAGTGAGCTTTTCACGGCTCTGCTTTCTGCCAGAGATCCATCTTGCCCCTGCGGTTGGCTGGGGGGGCCGGTGCTTGCGAGGGTGCGAGCTGTTTGCCCTGGAATGGAGCCGGGCTTGTTTTCTTTACTCAAACACCTGTCCAAATAATGGCCAAAGCCAGCAGCATTTCGGCCTGTCAGTGTGTGCCACTCGCCGGCGGGGGGGGTGCATCCTCATAGAGCGAATTCTGGCACATCGTAAATTGCCCCACGGGCCCCTATGCCCTCAGCGAGTGGCAAGGTGGCTGCGTGGCATCGCCCTTAAACCCCCCTGCCGCTGGGCAATTATACAGGAGCACACCAATCCAAAAAACAGCCCCCACCCCGAAAAGCTCTCTCCTCTTTTACCTCAACCCTCTTTATTCTGGTTTATTCAAGAAAAACACAAAAAACTAACATCAACACTGTCACTCAAAACTGAAGTCGCCCCCCCCCCCCC